TTTTAGGCCCGTTTTATTAGGGAAGTAGTCATGCCTAACCATGGACCTATGGCCTAACTAGTCGACGCGAGTGACTCAGTTTCGTGGCTCCAAAAATATGAACATTTGATTGGTTGAAATTGTTTATTTCGGTCCGCCCATTTATCCAAATATGGAATTTAAGATTACGTCATTCTTTTTGCATCCTGGTGCCTGATTTCAGTGTTTTACAAGTCGCTTATTCCGTCTATAAATTAACTTTCTCGTTGGTGGCGCTGTCCAGAATGAGAAAAATAATAAAAAATAAGAGACTTGTGGCAAGTCTATAAACACAACTGTGTGTGTAAATCTTACCTTGTGTGCCTCAATGAACAGCTTTTTAATGAGTGACCCAGCAGGTCCCTTAGCAGCCCCGATGACAGGCACCTCAGGGTGCTCCAGGAGGCTAGACACAAACGTGTCCATCTCAGTTTGATTCTTGCTACCAGTTGCCTGTGAGCTGAACTTTGTTTTTAAAGATTCTGACCGAGCAATTACTGTTTCCACCAGCCTTACTTGCTTTATCAGCTCCTAGAAGAATTGTTATTTTTATATTTAGTTATTGGTACATTGTTATTAGTTATCTATTATCAAGAATATAAGTTTTCTTGATATTTGCAGAAGTAATTATTAATATGTTGACCAACAAATTTTTCTATGCATTAGTACATTATTAGGGTAATGACATATAATATTAATTTTGTAATTCTGATTAATATATGAATTCTTTATTATTAATGAATATAATATACTTTTTAAATTACTTCTGATAATATATTATCAATTATAAATGAATAACTGCCAATTAATTCATAAAGATTTATTTCATAATACAGTAACAACATTTATAAAGGGCTGGGCCAACTAACTAGGCTGATATTCACGAGCACTCTAATTACAATAATACATAAATTAAAATATCACCTGATATTTAATGATTTCTTGAGAGGCACTGCGAGTAGTTTTTGAAGCTGATGAGATTATCTGTTCAATGGTGGTCCTCAACACTGGAAGGTTCTTCATCTCTGTAAGAGGAAATAGGCTAATCGTGTAAAAGGTTCGGAATCACTTTAATCACAAAAATATTTAATTGGCAATTTCCACTGGACAAGGATTTAAACCTCTTCAGCCCCACTATGGTTAAGGGTGAGGTTGAAATATTTTTTTTTATTGCTGTCAAATTTCTAGATGGCCAGAAAGGTACACCATGATTATACCATACTCAAATATCAATAAATGAAACAGTGAATTAGCAGATAATTGCACAATTAAATCAACACAAGAAAATCCATGCTGTTACAGTTTAAATAATGGATACCGTTTGTTTTTTTACACAGAAATCAATGGCAAGCCAAATTTGTCACATGGGCTGCCATTTTAGAACCACAGTTCTTTAGTGAGATACAATAAATGTTTTCAATGTATATGATGCAAGTCTGAAAACTTGTGGTGAAGATGATGATGGCACTGGTGGTGGTAAAATAATCATATTTATGGTAGGGAGTGGATAAAGACGATGATGGTGATTGTGTTATGATAAGGATCATTGTGATGTAGGGCTAACATTAGAAATGGTGTTAAAAATTACAACAATGGATACAGCAATGTACTGTACAGTCAGTGGTGGAGCCAGAAATTTGCCAACGTAGAGGTCTGAACCAAGGGGCTGACTACAGCCTTGGTCGATGGTCTGGAATAAAAAATATCTGGTAGGATTCACAAGAAGAGTATGGTCCAAATTGTGCCTTTATACCACATTATTAGGGATTAGCAATCAAATAACATTATTTGGATAGAGAAATTTAATTTTTTAAATTGTTGATCCGACGACCAAGTCATGCCGTCGAACAACAAGGGTGTCTAGACCTGTCCGACGTGAGGGCAAATGCCCTCCTGCCCCCACTGGCACCACCACTGTCTACAGTTACAATACCTGCTTGCTCAACTCGTTTGAGTGCAGCATGAATAAGCACAGGCATCAAGTGTAGTGCTAAATCACCCATCGTCAACGAACTTAAAAAATGCAGAACTTTCTCAGCTTCTTTTGTGTCATCAAATAACCTTCTTTGTCGATAAGCAGGACAGGGTTTTGCCTGGCCCCAAACTTCTTGCCATGTATTACCAGCAATCTAACAAATACCAACAAAATCAATTTGTCAAAATCATCACCCATTAACAAATCTGTATTTCTTCTTCACAATTAAATAAATATAAAGTTTTTATCAATTAAATTACTGAACTGCAACAATATGCAAAATTGAAATCTCTAGAGCTCAGAGGTTTGGCATCCTCTATCATTTTTTAAGACACCAACTTCAATTTTTTATTCAATAAAATTTTATTTTCTCTTTCACCATTTAGCTATACGAGAAAAACAATTTCAAAATACCTTCATTCGTTGACTCAGCTGACCCTTTACAACACCATCATCATTAACCTCCTCAATCCAGTCCCTTGGAGAATACCACCTCACAAAATCAGCTAACACACATCCTGGATTTGCAGCCTAGATTTAAAACAATGTGTAAACAATCTTATTTTCTAGTCTTCAAGAAAATATTTATCCTCGATTAAATAGAAATGGCTGATCTTGTTCAAATTCAGTAACAGAAACAAGGTTTTCCAGCAAAAAGATGAATAAAAAGGGCAATTATTCATTTTAGTTTAAATAATTAAACTACATACTTTGTATAATGAATATGAAATGTAAGTATATATACTGCATTTAGAATATATAAATTGTATTTATATTATAAAAATATTTATATCTTGCAAATGAATTTACCATTAATTCTATGTGAAGGATGCTTTTTAAAGAAAAAGTAGTGTAAAACCAACAAACAAGAATGCATTCAAAGACAAATTTAATTTTTTTTTCTTTTTTTCATTTCAACATTTATTTCTTTCATCCATTCTGAAATATTTAAGCAAGTAGAAAGTAATGAAATTCAGCAATAATAATATTGGAATAATTGTATAAGTAATAGTAATTTAACGTGTTAACAAAGAAAGAGGCAACAGCCCTGAAAGTTCTTATGTTAAGAATTGAGAACTAACCTTAAACGACTCCATGTCTGAGAGTAAGCAGGCGCTCTGCATCCTGGCTCTCAACTCAGCTCCTTCACTGCTTGTACCAAGCTTAGCAAGGATCTCAGCATGCTCCTCAAGCATGTCCTCTGTCATTGGGGCTGGATCCTACAATATATCAATTATATTATTAAATCGATCAATCAATTAAATCTATCAAACAAAGCAATCATTAAATCAATTTAAACATACCAAAATTAGTCACTGTGTCAAAATTCTAACAGTCCATATTAATTTAATATTTTCTTTTATTTTGATACTGAACAATGGTCCGTTAGGTTTGGCATTTTGAAAACAATTGGTAATATTATTACCATTATATTTATATGTTTAATGTTTTATATACATAGTTTTCTAGAAAACCAGACAATCAATCAACTAATGAGAAAAGATGCAACAGAAGATGTTCCTTTATCTGAATTTTAATAAAGGTGTATGTAAGAAACTTTGACATGAAAGCTAAGCAGGACAAGGCTGGGATTTATCAATCTCAGCTAAGCAAATATGTCTTAAGTCAAAAAAGTTGTCCCTAAGCAAATATCTTAAGCTGGTTTATCAAACCATCTTAGCAAAATCCTAGCTTAAAAATTGTCTTAGATGACGCATGCATACAATAGAATTTTAAGCAATTTTTAAGCTAAGCAATATTCATAAATCTGAGTCAAGCGAAAAATTAAACTTCAGACAAATTTAAGCTGATTTCTAATTTGATAAATCCGGCCCCTGGTCCCAAAGCATCAAAAGACTTTAATATAATAAGGGTGTGAACTCAGGAAGAGCCAGTTAGCTAAGAGTTATCAGCGCAAGATTACACATGTTAAAGCAGAATGAAATGAAGATTGAATGGACTGAAAAGTACAAATTGGAAAATAGAGCAGATTATGAAATGAAGACAGTTCAGAAACAAACTAGAAGGAGGAATGGAAATAAAAAGACAACTTATAACACTCTGTACCTGAGTGATTGGAATGAACAATGCTTCATCGCTATTCTGCAGTAATAAGTCTTCACATTGTCGAAGCCTGCCCTCAGGTTGGTGTGCGACAGAATCTACAAAGCCCTTAGAGTCAAGTGGACTCGATGTCTCTTCATCGGGTGAGTTTCTAATGGCATCCGCCGTACCGCTCTTACCATCATCTGTTTCGGATGACACTTCAGTTATTGCGGTTGTAACCTCATCAAAATGTTTAATACTATCATCATCACATTCAAAAAATTCATCGTCACTGTCGCTATCGGTTTTATTACTTGTCGTCAGACTGCATTGCGATTCTTCTATATCAAGCGTATGACTAGATCTTGGTTCATTATCATCGGCTCTTTGTTCTGATGAACTGTTCTGGTCCTGTGAAGCTTGATGGTTTGTCTGTTTTAATCTCCTCTCTCTTGCCATTTTCCGTGAAATGCAACAATTCAACATCTAACACACAAAATATAAAATAAAAAATTAAACAGTCAATGTTCTCTAAACTGAAGGTAACTATATGAGTATAAAATTCAATATTTTTGAGGAATCAATTTTCCATCTAAATTCTCCAATAACAATTATTCTTACTTGAAGTTTCTGATGAAGCAAACAATATCCAAGATTAGGTGATCCTGATTTTAGCCTGTAAAAAAAGTATTTTATTTATTATTATATTCATAAATACTTTAAAAATAGTAAACAATTAAATAAATATAAAAATAAATAAATAAAAATTCAAGTAGCAATTTTCATATTTGTGGTAAAAAATATTCTAAAGCTATGTCCAGATTATCAAATTTTCTTTGACAAAGAATTGTTGTATGCCCATATATAGTCATGATGTGCCTATATATGGTCATGATATGATGTCATCATGACCATATTTAGGCATGTTTTTGCCAAATAAAATTTGATAGTCTGGACAGGGCTTTACTGACTGAATTTCATGATTAGATTTGTGGTCTGGTGATCAAGGTGAGGGAAAATATAATGAATGAAATTAATGAACACATGAATGAACAAAGTTTTTCAGCCTTATGGGCCATTCGGCCTGAAGAGGATAGGTAGGTAGGTAGGTAGAATGAACAAAAAAAGAATGAATGTATGAATGACAAACAAACGAATGAATTAATGTATGAATGATTAAATGATAAAATTAATAAATATACAAATAATAGATGATAGATATATCTTACCCTGATATTAGTGTATTGCTTTCTAATCTATACCTCATCTCTAATAAAAACTCATGCCATAGATGAGCTGCTGCTTTCATTCCACCATGGTTATAGTTCACAATACACATACACACGGCAAGTTTATAAACTAAACTTCCCTCAGGTGCTGTCTTAAAGTGACGATATTTTTCCTGTAAGACAAAACAAAGGCCAAACAAAATTTTAAAATAAAATTACTGAAACTCTTGCTGTAGTGCTAGCACAGAATTTGTCCACAGTTTGCAGTTGCCTACTTAATGCTATGCAGTTTCTACTGTTCGTTTTTACCTTGTTTTCTTGTTGATCATCAGAAATTTGGTCATCTGATGTTGATTCTTCTTTCTCATCTTCATCAGGAAAGAGAAACTGAAAGAGGCAATAGAGATGGTAAGTCAAAAGTCAATATCAAGAATAATGAAATAGTAAAATTAATCATAAATGTTAGCTTTGTTTTGTGTGAATTTAGGTCACAATAGCATCTCATTACAAATAATAATGACAATAATAATGAACATTTATTACGTGCTCTTACACAAATGGTCTCACAAATCTATTAGAGAACAGATAATTGAAAAAGGTGAGTTTTTTTGAGAGTGAGAGCAGTTTTGAACTGTTTCAAAGTTGGAGATTGACAAACTTCACGCGGTAGTTCGCTCCATAGGGATAAGGCAGCGAAATAGAATGCATTGTGATAAGTGAAATTGGTCTAATGTTTTAACTCAAAGTTAATATGGGTTAAGGAAAATAGTCATGCACCATAAGAACGTGATATATAATTTATAATTAATGGTAAAACTATATATTTAACTGTAATACTAATAAAGTTATAATAAAATAATTGTTGGGATGATGATGATGATCATGTTGATGATTATGATGTTGGTGCTGGTAATATTACAACACATTGACAATAAAAGCAACAGACAAAATATAAATAGAAAAGATGGCACTATACAAATACACATCATTACTTAAATTTATAAACATTGAAGAAACAACTCACTGACAATATTTCATTAAGAAGATCATTAGGTAAGGGTTCTGGTTCATTATTCTCTGTTTTTCTCCTCCTCTTTCTCCTTGTCTTTGATCTACTCACTACTGTTGAGATCTTTGGTATAAACATCATTCCAGGGTCGGTAAGCCTCTGTAGAGCTTGTCCAATATTCCCTTCACTTTCTTCTTGGTAAGCTTTACCTAGTAATTGTTCTGTTGATTCTCTACGGCTGCAAAGTTTTTCAAATTCTAAAAGGTAATCAGCTAAAAAACAAAGTGAGAGTTTAAGGTGAATCATTGATGTGATGCAGTTCTAAAGCATTGGTACCACACTGTTGTTGTTGTTACAGTGAAGTTTAAACATGACTGCTGATCAATGCATTATCACATGTGGCAAGCTAAACATGGTAATGTCACTGGTCATGCATTTTTATAGCCCCTTCCACAATAAAAACCATCTCAAGACGCTTTTAAGCCACTAAAAACTAAAGCAAAAAACTGAAGAACCAGTTCCAATGCGAAAGGGAAGCAGGAAGATGCACACCTCTGATTTTGAGATGGCATCGCCATCACTACCGTGTACACCTTTCGAAAGCTAGAATTTTTCATTATTAAACATACCAAAGATACATCAACCCTACTATCTGCCTATTTATCAACTACTTTTGAGGTTGTGTGATTTAATTGTTGTGATCTAAAACTAAAGTTCATGCATATGGGCATGATAATCTTCCTTACCTAGAAGGCATTCTGGATCATCCACCATTCTGACCCGAACAGACCAGACAGGTGCACGTAGAGGGTCAAGGTCACTGCAAAGATAAAAATTCAAATAAATAGAGGAATTGAGTAATACTTAATTAGCACATAGTGTAAGTAATAAAAATACATAAATATAGAAATTTGTAAATATGCTCCAACATAATGTTATGATGATGATAATGTTAATAATGATGTTGATGATCATATAGATGATGATGATGATGCTTATAATGATGGGTGTTACTGATGATGATGAGGTTCCTATGATAATATAATTCATTTTCGAATTCCTGGTAGTTTCATCTAACATCACATGGACTAAGAAATTTTATTTAAACTGTATTAATTCAAACTCATTTTATTCACACAGAAACAAGATTAGAAATTGATTCTTACGAGAAGGAATTGTTATCAACAATCATGTCTTCATTAAAGCAAGGCCATGTAGTGTAGAGATGGAATTCACGTATAGGATCTTCTATAGCACCAAATGGCAGGTCTTTACAACCAGCATAGCCTATAGATACATCATTCTCACTGTCAATTTGCTCAATATCTAAAATAATGAAGAAAAAACATTGGCTTTAATTTCTATTTCAAATACAGATGCTACAACAGAAACTCATTTTTACTATGCTATTGTTGTGTTCAGTTATCTGTCGAATCGAGTATATAAATATTCTCTCAAATTATTAATGTTTAATGACTGCCTAAAATGTGTCACTGAATTAAAACATTAACATTAATTACAATACAAATTTTAGTTCTATGCCTGGGATCTGTCAGGACACAGCATTCATCAAATAAAGTATCAAACATTAGCTTAGGATTCAAGCATCTATCATCAGATGTGACACCAGATCTTTAAAACCACATTTTAGAGTCAAGCAAACTTTTCAGCATTTTTAAAGGATTTTAACATTTTTTAGCATTTCAATTATGAATGTCTTAACTGATTCTGCATCTGGCTTTCTAAATGTTTTAAATGCTTTTTGATTGCTTTTAATATTGTGTTTCCGTCCAATTTTCTGAACTTTTAAAACCAAATTTTAAAGAGACAAACAACATCTTAACATTTTTAGCATTTTTAAAGTGTTTTAGCATTTGTTTTACTTTTCTTTACATAAATGTTAATTGATCCATCAAATCTTGCTTTCAAATGATCTTATCTGTTTAATGATTGTGATTGTTTTGTATTGAACGCATGTCAGAGCTGTGATGAGGTGCCACTGTTACAAAAGTGCATTTCTTATAAATTATTATTCTTATTGAGGCTTCATGCCACACCTGAAATAAGTAGCAGCAAAAGCTTGTGCTATCAAGAAACAGTTATTCTGAAAGTGCATAATCATAATCTGCTATATCGTGAAGTGACAATCATATGGTTATAGAGCCATGGTTGTATAAAACATTCAATGTAAGTGCAGTATCTACCTGGTGGTTGTTGGGGCCATGCAGAGTAGTGCGTCCAGTCTTGAAGAACGTAAGTAAACCTTACTGACACACTAACATGAGGTAGATTCACAGTACCAGCCTAGAAGATTATGGTGAAAATGTGAGATATCGACAAAAAATTAAAATTACTTTACTGCTACAAGAGACACTAAAGGCTACAATTTATTTATAATTATATTATCCAGTGGAAGATTCAAGAGGGGGGAGGGGGTGGGGGAAGTCAGCCCCACTCAATTTAAAAAATAAAAAAAATGAGAATAGAAGAAAATTCTATTCAAATTTTGAATCTATGAGTGCCATTAAAAATTAACAATTTTCTTGGTTAGGGCTGAGGTAGTACAGACCCTCCATCTGTGAAAGTCCCTCCATGGGCCCCCTCTATTTCAAATTCCTGGATCCACCACTGCTATCAACAAGTTTTCAAACAAAATACAGTAACAACAATGGTTATTTTTCATCAATAGCTACCCAATTGTGGAAAGGTCTGCCTAGATCTATGAAGTATATTCACTTGGTCAGTTCTCATCTTAAAAAAACATAGTGTAAATTATATGATTCATAAATAATGCCATATTGTCACTGCGATTGTATTATTATAATACTTAGGAATTTGGCTGTCAAGAGATTATTTCTTAATTTTGATTTGTGTATAAGCTTTCCACAAGGGATCTATAACATTGAGGGGAATATTAGGATTACAGTAGCTTGTTTGTAAATAAAACCTACAATTTTTGATCTGAATATACTGAGCAGTCCTTCTAAGTGGTTGTATTGTGGGGGTGCTTTCATCAGGTGAACCATGTCAAAGGTTGTACGAACACCAGGAGCTTCGCACACACCAGTATACATACGTCTCCATTTCTGTTGAATTTGAGCAAATACTGGAACTTTACTGCAAAATGAGAAACATTTTATAAACAATTGTTTAGCATCTTCATACAGTCTGTATGTGCCAGATGGTAATGGTAATGGTAATGGTTGGAGACCTATATAGCGCATAATACATGGTCTCTATGCGCTCGGCCGAGCGCACAGATAACACATATATGATTTTATTACACAACTATTGATAATTGAATTATTAATACCTACCAATTTGTATTGTTGATAGCTACTGTGGCACAACTGAGCAAAAGATTACATTTGCTTTCACTGCTAATGGCATCACTTTTAGCCGAGGGCGCTAGAACAACAAAATGACGTACTCCATACCTAGTAACAAAGGATGAAAATGAGTGTATTGTTATATTTGGTTCTGCTAAAAGTAGCATTTCATCATACACATGCAAAGGATTGGAGAATGATTTGTTGGCTTCCTATAGAGTCTCTTCCTCAATACTTAAATTGCTTTGATTGGTTTTAAACAGCTTGAATGACAGAGTCCTGCCATACCTTTATAATTGTACTTCTATGGGCAGAGTCCATAGCCACTAGACCACAGGTAATTCTGAAAGAATGCTACTTCTTCAAATAACCAAGTATGAATCTGGTTGTAAGAGATTTTAATTCAAGTAAACTCTGCCCAAGAATTTAGATAATTATTGAATTAGATCGTTTTTCTTGTAATTTTGTGAACTAATACTACTACAAAAACCGAAAGGTCCACTGATTAATCTCAGATAAGAAAGTATAATACATACTCCAAGTATTGAAATACACGCCATCGTGTTGGGATTCAATATTTCGACATTAATTATGTCATCATAAGGAATTATGTCATCATCAGGAATCATCATTCCTGATGATGACATAATTAATGTCGAAATATTGAATCCCAACACGATGGCGTGTATTTCAATACTTGGAGTATGTATTATACTTTCTTAATACTACTACAGTTATTTGTTTTTGTGCATGCTGGTACTATACTCTAATCTGCTTATGCGCTGGGTAAAACAGAAATATAAAAAAAAAAATAATAAATTTGTGCAATCATTAATTGGTTGTTTCTAATGTCATTTGATGGTGGTTAGGTCATGTTGAACTAATATTTTTATATCATTTGTGCATAAACTGATGTACAACTACAAATTACACATTAAATTAGCAATAAAATGAATGAGAAATTATTGAACAATAGAGTAGGAGATTAAGTACCGGTGTACTGACCAATACAGTTTCTGTCCTGTCTCAGAGTATGGACAAGTTTATGGACATGTGTATGTGTGAGTGAAAGGAATTTTACTACATATATGACAGCGGCATGTACATAGATTCATATTTTACAAAGAAGACTGCCCATCAGAATAAAATGACTTACCATCTACATAGACAATGAGCTCTTGGTGGAAAATCACAATCCATAGTCATCATGTCCTCCATTGCTTGCGGCAACCGATCTGAATTTATGAAATTACAGTTTAAGGTATTTCCAAAAAAATTTCTACTGCATTACAGGATGACTTGAACAATTATGGTACAAAAGTTCAATTAATCTTTTTTTTTTTAAACTTATGAAAACAATCGGTTTCTTTTAAACACATTTAAAGACATCCTAGGTTCAGGATAAATAAATAAATAAATGAAATTTTAATGTGATACTTTTATCAGCGAAATCTCTTTATGAGGCTTAGGGAATGGAGTCAAATGATGGCTGCTGTAGTCATCACCACAATTCAGAAAAGTGAGTTATTCTACATTTACCAATATGAAGGTTGGAATGGTGGTGATATAGAGCCCACTGAAAGAAATGTCAGTGGCTGCAATCTACTCTACATTTGCTCATCTTCTGTTCTAGTAATATCTGTATAAGTTCTAGTAATATCTGTCTATTTTATTTAGTTGTCTGGATATTGTGCAGCATGTCCACCCAAATTGCCTATTCAACGTTATTCGAATTGGGAGCTTCATTTTGTACTTGTCTTATAAGCTGTGTGCAGACTGATCTTGTACACAATATAGAGAAGATTGATACAAATTGCTGGATTATATTTACCTTCTGTTTCTGCTTTATCTTCTTTTCCAGAAGGAACATCTTCTGCCTGTCCATCAGAGACAGCTTTATGTTCAGAAATAATGAATTTGAAGTTTGCAAACTGAATGCTCTCTTGTCTCTCCACCCAATGTTCATTTGCTTCTTTCTTCAATTGAACACTTTGTGGGATATTATTCAATTTCCAGTCATGTAATATGTGTTCCAATCGTGCTATGAATCTGGAAAAAAAAAAAAAAAGATATTAAAAACTTTACATAGTCTGCATTAAGAATATGCAGTTTCCATATTTCTTGTAATATATGGTATAAAGAAAATTATTATTTTTCATTGTAATTTCCTATACTTTAAATTTTTTTTGCTGGCAGGTTGAAAGTGAACTGAAATTGTACAATAACTGCATGCATGTAAATAATTCAAGGTGTCTACTGTACAAATGCAATTCAAGGTGTTTACTGTACAAACACTTGAACTGGTTGGTAATCAATTCATGCAATTTCTTAGTGATAAAAAAGCTGAGTTATTGTTAAAGTCAAATAACATAATTGAAAATTTTAATTAGTAATTCATAAAATCCTACTTTTAATTCAAGATCCCAGACTTCCCTATGGATGGAATGTGTTATCTTTAATTAGTGCCGCATCCATTATTTTGAAAAGGAGGATGCTAAATAGATATTACGTCCACTTGACCTTATATGCAGGTCGCAAAAATAAGGATGGAGCATATCAATGGCTATAATTATGAACACTATAAATTGGTTGTTAACACTCTGACTGCCAGGGGTATGAAAAAATAGTATCAGCCACCGCCAGACTTTTTAGCAAATTTTAACACTTTGCCGAAGCTCGTTGAGAGTGCGCATGTGATCATATTGACATTTAGTGAATACTACAAGAACTACAAACATTTTAGCTTTGCAATGGTACCAAACACTTTATTCTAATCAAAGTCTGTGACCCGTAACAGTATAATGAAAATGACTCACTTCTGGAGATTTATGCAATTTTACACAACGAAGCAGAGATAATCGCGATTTTGTTAAAGTAAATAAATACTGCTCAACGCTACAGTAATGTAAACAAACAAATAGTGAAATACTTACGGTCAAGACTGAATATAGTGTTCAAATTGTTAATACATGTCGGTAATTACCCCATCTAACGGATTCCTTAAAAAGACCTGCAACACAGAGATCTCCATGTTTGGTGGTTACAGTTACCAAACATGGAGATCTCTGTGTTTGGTGGGCAGAGTGTTAATGTCTAAAGTAACTTACTTTACCATTTATTTCCACTAAATTACTATAATTTTTTCATTTTTTTTAACAAAAAGGGGGTGCTCAGTCATCGTGAAATCCTCCCCCTTGGTTATGCCACTGTTAAATATGTTTCTCTCAAAATTTTATTAGTAATGTACAGTATGTCTTCTATAAAGTTACCTCTCCCATTCTGAAGCTGTAGTGAAGTCTGTAATCTCAAAGACATCTGTATCCTATGGAAACAAACATGTCAGAAATTAATTTTAAGAAGTACAAATATTAGATTTAACACTACATCAGGTTTTTCCAGAAAATTATGTTCCCATTTCTTTTCTTCATTTACTAATATCAAAAATAATATTAAAAATAATAATTAATAGAGTTCAACTTGTATAGTAGTATAAACAAAGAACTTAAATAGCAGAAGAATGAGCTGCTCCGCGTATTTGCATTAAAATCGATGGAACATTCGCCCTCATGCGGTTGCAGTAAAATTTGAACATTTTACTAAGTGGAGAAACTACAGGAAACAAACGAACCAGAGCGGCGCCTTTATTATTACTATATAGCGCCGCTGTGCGGATGCAGTAAGATTTTTGTCCGTGTACCCACAATGCATTTCGACCGGATGTTCCACTATTTTGGGAAGCTGCTCTATCTTCTGCTATTTAATATCTTTGGTATAAATTACAAACTATGAGGTGTAATTCGATTAAAACAGACAAATATGTGGAACAGTAATAATAAGACAAGAAAGATTAAATCCAGAAACATAAATTTAGAGGAATAGGAATCTACAAGTGTGGAGTAGCAACACACATAATTGTTCCTTGTCTATAATCAACAAATATGCAATTATTAATCAATTTTATTTTCATCCTAACTTGCATCTCAACCTAATTTTCAATATCCATATCGTATTATATTTTTTTGACACTTCAGTCTTACTAACTGCAAGATTTCGTGCCAGGGTTAGAGAACACATGATGTATGGTATTCAGCATATTCCACAAATATAACGGTTTTTATTCAGTAAGTTATTATCATAGCCTATCTTCTCAATCTCATGCTCATTATTTATATCAGTCGTGCATGGAGGAATAATTTTAACTTATTCCTCCGTGAGTGTAAGCATAGCCTTTAAATTATGTGTTCTTTACGTAGGCTACTACTAGTACTAGGCCTACCTAGGCATAGGCCTAGACATCAAAAATTAGTTAAAACTTGTTTATAAAACACAAGAAAACATATTATTTGTCAATAAGTTAAGTAAATCATAATGGCTGTATCATAATTTAGTATCAAGCCCTTGCCTTTCCTTAAAATAACTAACTAAATAGTAAGAATCAACATCTGGTGGCCAACTAAATCCTACAGTAGCCAAGGGCCAAAGCAAAGCCCTAAATATGTATGTATACACCACACTCACACTTGCTTGCCTTTCGCAACCAAAAAGTTACGCCTTAGACTAAGGCTTAGGCCTAGGCCTAGTTAGCTAGCCTAGGCCTAGGCCTAGCATAAATTGAGTGTTTAAAATAGCTATAAAATCAACGTAGCATTCTCAATATTACCTCAGATTCTTCAGACATTATTGATATTTAAAGAAATGTATCCCACTAATTATGGGAAACAACTTCAGTTGCTCAAAAATACACGTTTTAAAGATTTCTTCTCGTTTTCTGTTCAGTCCTAGAAGTCAACAGTCGACGATGTCAACAAATAACTTAGTTGACCTGACAATTAACACTTTTTTAAATCAAATCTAAATTGCATTTATAATGGCATAAATAATTTTATAGAATAATATTAATTTAATCTAATAACGAATATAATTTAAACTTATATATCATTTATTTATTTAATAAAATATCAATATACCTAAAGCTCCTGATAATTTATTTGACCATGGCTAAAATGGCAGCGCCCAACAACTACAAAATGGCAAAATTATTCCAACCGGGTGCTGCACCATTTGGCAATTTTATCAACTACTATTCGTTCAATCCACCTGAGAATCGATTGCAATTACTTACTGACAGTTTGTTTAATACACTCACTAATGGAATTCATTCAAATAAGATATCAGTTCTTGATATCGGCTGTAATGCTGGTGTAAGTTTGGTTTATTTAGGCCCGGGCAGGCCTAGTCTTGTTTAATGTTGCAACCAGCGTGACCACTGCTTGGGTATTTACCCATGATCTTGGGTATTCCGTTCAAATCCTTGGGTATTTTATTTTTACTAAGAAAAATAAATTAAATATTTTTGTCATAGAGGAAGAATAAGAAGTAACAAAGTATATTTCAGTCCATTCAAGTAAGCAAAACTCAACGAAGGGCACATAACATTGTTAATTGTCAAATTGATTGACTGTTAATTGCTATAAACATGGGTTCAGAATTGTTTATTTGTGATTTGCATTGCCATTGATCTTACCTAATTAATGCATTACATAATACAACTTGATCACTGATCTACTGATAACACTGGCCGACTGACGGCGTATTTTTCTATCCGTATTATCACCTCATGAATATTAATTTTAATAATTAACACAAACAATTACAATAAAAAATTTATAAATTGAACTAAAAGGGAAACTATACATGCGAAAAACACATTTTTTTCAAATTTTAATGCATTTTCAGGAAGCTTGGGTAATTTTTGGCAATTTTTGCTGAATCTTGGGTAATTTCGACCCAGTCATTGGGTATATTAAAAATTGTGAGTGGTCACGCTGGTTGCAACGCTAACCTGTATAAGCCAACCTAGCCTAGATCTGCCTGGCCATCATGACATTTTTTTTTACTTTGTAATAAAGAAAACAAAAAATACAGCTGCATGTAATATTAATAAACATAAGAGTAGGCCTATATGCATTCAGTAGGGCAAGACTCGCTCGTCTATTTTGTTGAAGATTTTATGAAAGTACTTTTAAAAATTGGCACAGTATTTTGATTCCTCAAAAGTACTAATAGGGACATTCTAAAATACAGGGATTGATTGCTTGATTGAAAATCTACCTATTATTAATATTAGGCCTAAGCAATAATAAATGTAATTGGTTAAATGTGGTAGGCCTATGCCCTAGTGGCAGTAGTATTGGAGTACAATACTAACATATTGAACTGTATAATATCCCCGCTTCCCAAATGTTTTTCTCTGGGACCCAATTTTTGATGCAGGAATTTGTAATAGGGGCCCAAAGAGAGATTTTCACAGATAGAGGGTCTATCCACCTCAGCCACACCATGGTTGAGGGTGAGGTAATGCATTTTATGATTAAGGCACCCGTAGATGGCCGGAAATGGCACTCTCATAGTGAATTTGAATACAATTTTCCTTTTTTTCCCTCATTATTTTTTTTTAATTGGAGGGTGGGTGAGGGCTGGGTGGAGCCTTGAATCTGCCACTGAAAAATGAAACAACTTATTATTTGTAACAAAAAAATAATAATTTTTTTTGCAAAAAAATATTTTCAACCTTTGAATTATATATTTGATGTACTTAAATTTTAACCCTATGTGTTTACATGGCGTATTCAGGATTTAAAATAGGGGGTGCTGATGAAATGAGAGTGGTGGGGTGTTCAGGCACTCCTTGGATATGCCTTATAAACCAAAATGCATGACAGACTGTTTGGTATATTATTGTTTGCATTTGCAACAGAAACTTTCTGTTTTATTTCTATAAATTGTTCTTAAACAGAAAAACAATAGTGATATGAATTTCAAAATATTCATTGTGGGCAAATAAAAAAAATTGTTCTAATGAGGGTTCACCTCAAAATTATGTTTTTATGTCGTCAGACCTGTTAAAAATTCACAACTGTCTGAAAATCAGTATATAAATTGAATTATTTTTTGCAAACCTGCTCGCGACCCAACTTAAAAGTTTGGCGACCCATTTTTGGGTCGCGACCCATAGTTTGGGAAGCGTGGTATAATATTATATAACATAACTATACATAATTATACATGCCACCTTTCCATACGGTTAAAACTTAAGGTGTATTGCTGTACAAGCTAAACTGGTAGTCACTGTTTTTTTACTCCAGAAATTTCATTTAAAGTACTGTACATGTTTTGTTGCATACAGTGAATGTGCACACAAATTGATATTGCAGTTTAATTTAATTAAAGATGGATTGTCCCCTGAAAATGACAAAAAAGTCATTAAAAAATTATTTTTAAATTTACTTGCTCATTTTGAAGTAACATACAAATTATTAAGTTGAGCATAGAAATTATTATATAAAAAAAATTGTGTACCCTGATTTTCATACTGGATAATGATAAAAATAATTTAGTGTCTGAAAGTGTTTATCATTTTTCACTGTAGGATTATAGGTAAACATTTTTTAAATACACTAATTTATATATTCAACTTGATAATTTTTACACATGTTAATTTCCTTATTGATTTTTATGATTTTGTTTGTTATTTTGCATGGCACAATACATATCTGTAATGTATCCTTTTTCTCAACCAGTTGATTTCAGTATACTGAATTCTATATATTTTCAGGATTTGACAGTTGAGTTGTACAAGTCTCTAACACAAAGATCTGAAGTTAAACACCAAAGTATTGCGGATGTTGTGATGTTTGGTTGTGACATTGATTCAATATTAATTCAGCGTGCTACTGAAGATAATCCTTATCCAGACCAAATTACATACCGATCATTCAACATTATGGAGGGTGCTACCCGAGTTATGCACTTGAAAGCGTTCTTAGATTCTCATCAAAAAGAACGCTTTGATCTTGTTTGTTGTTTCTCGTTAACAATGTGGATTCATTTAAATAATGGAGATGATGGTTTACTAAAATTTTTAGATGTTGTATCTAGCATGACAAAGTTTCTTCTAATAGAGCCACATCCATGGAAGTGTTATCGTTCTGCAGAACGAAGAGTTACCAAGTTAGGTTGCCAAGGCTTTGAAATGTTGCCGCATATCAAAATAAGGAATGATGTTGATGTGCAGATAAAGAAATATCTTACTGAAAATTGTGGGATGACTTTGGTTAAGGACTTTGGTGCCACAACTTGGAAAAGAAGTATTCAACTATTTGAAAACACAAGTTTGAAATACATATTAAAATGAAATCTTAAATATTTATATGTACAGTATTTATTTTGTTGAAAGTTCATAATATACAGTAAAACAATCTTGACAATTTTTTTTTTAATTTGTAAGTCTTTATTGAATAAAGTCACTAAATGTTAAATTTTATCTGTACTTGATCTGTGGTTAATGGTTAAATATTGTGAATTATGACATTATAAGAGGACATACTGTAGATTAAATTCTTATTATCTTTCAGCTTTGTAGATTTGTGGATTCTTGAAATCCAGCTTATATGTATTTAATCACATTGCCCACCATTTTAATTTAGTACTTTTGACATAATACCTCTATATATTTCCCTGAAGTTATACTTGCGAACTTAGTTTATAAGACAGTATTAATTTTTTTTTAAATACAGTTTTGCCTACTCCTCTATATGTTCTCTTGCTTCTGTAAAGTTAGTTACTGTACTGTATACACCAGCAGTTCTATTGATCACAACCCAAAATTGGATCACTAAACTAGAGGGTTGCGCGGTTTTTTTAATTTAGAAATTTCTACATCTTGTGTTTACCGTGACCATTTTTTTAAGTGTTTTTTTTATAATTTTCCCGAGAAGTGGGTTATTAATTGCCTAGACATTTTAGGTCGTCGGCCAAAAAGTTTATATACTATACATTGTTCCAAAGATATATTATTGTACAGAAACAAGAGTGGAACTGGAGTGGTGGTTATAATGATGCACACTCTCCCATCTAATGGTCGATCCTTGGTTCAAATCCATTAAAATTCCAGGATTTTGTTTTTCTCAAGACGAAAAATCAACTTCACTTTCTCGGTCTAATTTTTTCATTTCAAAAGTAGCATCATCAAAATGCCAAATTCATGTCAATGGCTACCAGATGTCTCTATGAAGACGGTTCCTTGACCCAGTACTGTACCAGTACCTATCAAGGAGACTGTTGATTACATGGTCCATATTGTAATCGCCGAGTTAACTTGCTGTTGCAGGTCAAATTGATACATCATTGTTTTCCAATTCACCAATTAAGTCTATTTGTATCTTATACTTTCATCTCTGGGTGCATCCAGGTTTGCATTCATCATCTTGTTTTTTGTTTTCATCAGTTGCACTCTGTTCCTGTCCACTCGCCTCTTTGCCATAACAAATGTTGTGACTCCAACAACTATAATACCAGCCCTGAAATCAACAATAAAAGTGGATTAAGTACAGTATCAAAATGTCTATTCAATTTTGGTGCTCTGCCTTCACTTCTAAATGGCATATCTGATGACATCCAGTTCCTTTTTTAGAATTGTGTTATATTTTTTTAACAATAAAAATGACTTAACCTCTTCATTTACCATTAAAGGGAACATGTTAGCAGGGCACAAATAGCAATTTTCACAGGTGAAAATGAGAGTTGATATTTGAAGTTTAATTTTTCACCACACTACACAATGATACGCCATAATTTATTGAAGATTCATAATGAAATGTACTTTTTAAAAATGATTAACAATGAGTACCATAATGGCATAACTACCTTTTATATTTAATATTACTGTATAATAATAAATTACTAGCTAGGCCTAGGAAAATTTAGTAATGTATACAAAAAAATCACAAATTTATTTTTAATTATAAACTGAACCATTTTATTATGGCAAAATTCTATTTAACCTTCAACATACCAACTAATGCTGATCTTAGCACTTTTTCCTAGAGCCATTTTTGTTTCCTTAAGTTTGCAGAGTCCAAAGAAGAGTGTCTTGTGTCACGCGAGGCGACCAAGGCTAGAGGCCTAACCACCACCAACGATGTGGAAAAGAGGGTACGACCTCCTAGGCATAGGCTAGCCCGGCGAATTAATTTATTACTAATGTTTGTTAATTACGATTTATTTTCTGAATCGAATGACAGACTAGTGAATACAAGAGAGAAACGCCAACATATAATCAGTTTCTTGAATGCAGTGTTAAGCCTATAAACAATATTTTAGCTTCTCTCTGGGAATACAGAACACAGCTGGGCATCGTGTTTTTGCATTCCTGGTGATTTCTATCTCTTTAATAATCTAAACAACCAAAGGATTGACTTATACAAAGAGACGGAAACTGTGGCATTGATTTAAATTTAGAACAAAAACAATGAATTCAGCACTGAGTAAGGGACGATGTCGAGCCATATCGAGCAAGCGCAGTTACCAAAAAGACGTCTCGGGATGAACCAACCAGTGTGTGCGAAGAGGGTATGAAAGAGAAAATGTAAAAAGTCGAACTTTATGCAACAATTAGGCATGCGCAACTCTCAAGCTAACGCGATCATGCATGGCTATGAAAATTGAAAATAATGAGAATTTCGGTGGCTATCGAAGGCCTACAGTGCATCATATTTAATTAAATTATCGCAAACAACAGTTTATTTGGCTCTATCATTGTACGTAGGGTACGTATGCATTGAATCTGATGAAACAACAGAAACTGACGACACAGCCTAGGCTAGGCCTCTCTGGGTAGCTACTAATAGAGTCATTCCATATGAATCCAACACACTTTTTTGCCCGACCCCCTTCAAATCGCCCAGTATTTTGCATGTTGGGGGTTCTACCTGAGATAACCCCACAGTAAAATTTTTGGCTCCGCGCCAACATTTTCTGATGAGTTAGAGCAATTTGAAATTTTCATGAGATTTGGCTAAAAAACTCACCTTCTGACAGACAACTGCTGATATCTCTCCTGAAACTCAAGGACAAGTCACGTGATCTTGACCTTTGACCCAAAAAATCACAAAGTATATCTCGATTTTTGGAAAATTCACACCTCAGTTAGAACACTTAGCCCATATGATGCCCCTAAAGTTTCATTGTGGGCAAATGAAATATATTATCTCTAGACTACATTTTGTGCCTAGGTATTGATAGTTTCACTGAGTTTCCAGGAAATCTGCTGATAGATTCTATGAAACTGGCACCATAGTATAGTGAAAATCAGGGGCCCCGTGACCGTTTTTCTGGGACCAAGGTTTCACTGCTGATTTAGCATCACTAGGGTATAAATAAGAAAATTGAGCGAGGGAGAAAAAAGGCGGAACATTTTTTTTTTGGCGGCCATTTTGAAAATGGCCGCCAAAATTACGATATTGACTCATAACTTCACTTATATCCAATGAAAAAGGGCAAATCTGGTGTCTACCTATATGTTATTAGGATCAGTGAAGCCAATGAGACAGGTTTCGTAAAATGTAAGCCATATTGAAACTCAAGATGGCCGCCTTATATAAATGGTCAAAAAAATAATATTTCAGTATAATTCCACATATCCTCTATGGAAAATGGTAAATTTGGATCTAATCATAATATGATTTTGAGCTCTCTGAATACAATAAACATAGTTTTTAAAAGGTTAGGATGGTAGTCATTTTGAAATTCAAGATGGCCGCCATAAATATCCTGAAAAATCGAATATTTTAGTATGTAATTCCACTTCTCTTTGAAGAAAACAAACCCTTAACATGCAAAATATTGGGCGATTTGAAGGGGGTCGGGCAAAAAAAGTGTGTTGGATTTTATATGGAATGACTCATTAGCCAAGTAGTAGTGGAGGGGCAAACCTGGGTTAAGTCTCATTGTGTCTAATATAATGTGGAGTACTGTTTAGTACTTTTAAAAAAAATATTTTAATCCTGTGACCGCAATGTAAATAACTTTGTCACTGGCTACTGTTACACCTGTCGTGTAATGTTGGAAAGATGCTGTCCAGGGAGCTCTCTGTTGTGTCCGAACCATGCACAATTTTCGATGTTAGCGAACCGCAAGGTTCGATATTTTGCTCGCTGTTGAGCTCTCCCTGTTTTTTGGGGTTTTTTTGCATTAAATGGTTGACATTGAAAGTTTACCTACGTCTTATCATTCCTCATTTACGTCAATCTAAGAGTGACAAATCTAACATTCTCATCTGTCCAGGATAATATATCTTCATTTTAAAATTGACATAAAGAGAAAATGTGAATCCACTCCGCAGCTCAAAACATGGCAATCACAGTCTCAGGATTAGTAATTTAGATTATCGTTTGCTAAAAAAATCAATGACAAGATATTGTTTTAAAAAATGAATGAACACCGAGGGGCGCTTATTTAAACAGGGTGCTTGAGATAATTTTCACGGGCGTTTATTCGCGGGGGCGCTTATTCAAACAGGGCGCTTATTCGTGGGAGTACGGTACTGTAACATAAGTTTATCTCCAACCCCAAATGAGGCGCCTCGTACGGCTGGAGATCATACAAACTTACGTATAAATTATTCGACTTATTCGACTGCCTCATTTCGTTGAGCACGAATTTTCGTTGAGTATTATTTTCATTCGACTGGTTCGTAAATTCGTTGACAAAGAACATTAACGTAACCAGAATGCGTTAATCAGCGTTAAGTTATGCAAGTGACAAAAAAATATGGCCGATTGGTCAGTTTAGCAACAACATTTGCGTTAATATAATTCAGATTAAATTTCAGAAAATAAAATAAAAATTACAATATTTACCCACGTTGAAGTCAAAAAATATTTGTAGGTTAACAGAGTTTAAAAACTGGATGAAAACATTTTTTTTACGAAAAACCCATACTGCCACAATCCGAAGCAGCATTGATTACGCAGCGTGTATCACGGTAATTATGCAGCCATTTTGTTTTGTCGAGTAGGGCCTATTTACCAAAGTGGTGTAATAATTAAGATTTAATTTCAAGCTGTTAAACGCTCTTTTAATGACAAAAAATCTTCTGATTTCATAATAATAATTTAAAAAAAAAACATTCCACGAGATGGTGGTGCGATGGTTTCATGATTAGTTAACTTTCATAAACTTGCATTAATATGATGCGTCTGAAACTATATTACGTAATTTATTTACTGTAATTGGCTACCATGGATAGAATAATTGTGTGTGATTAAGATAAAATGTTTCCATTGACGTTCTTTTTTAAATGGATGGTTTTTAAATTACGCCTTCCCACGTACAGCCCCACTGTCTATAGAACTTACCGAAGGCGTCACAAAACTAATGCGTAGCCAAGGTTGTCTCGGATTTTGGGCGCTGGGTTTTCGTAAACAAACACTTTTCTGTAGCTCTATTCTAGTAGTATAAATGATATTTTTACTTTATTTTCACAGTATTATAATTATTATTTAATCTAAATTATATCAACTTAAATGTTTTAGCTAATGGTCAATCGGCTATGTCTGTTTTGGTGACGTGGAAAACTTATACCAATTAGCGTATTCTGGTTTTCGAACGTTCACTCTCAATACACCATAAAGTCTATTTCACTAACCAACCGATAAAAAATAAAGGTGTTTCTGCCAGCTTAGATCTATAAACTCTACCACTGATTTACAAAAAATCTAAAGCATTGCAATTTCTTTTTATATTTCACATTGTGTTCGACCACGGAGGACTGTTGATTTGTTCAAATAGGCGTAGCCTATTATAAACTGTACCTTTAATATATTTCATGTTTTCCTCACTCTCAAGCCGGATGGCTTAGGGCTCAAGCATACTTTTCAATCTTGTCCACAACAATAAGCCGTGTGAATAGCCTCACATCGAATCAAATATATTTCTAAGGTTTCTTTATTCAGGTACTTAAGTATTTATGGTGCTCAATGCCGTAGCCAGAATTTTCAAACATTGTGGTACAATAATTAAGAGTGGACACAATCCAAGAGTGGACCAACATCGGACTCATTCTAACGCGTCTATTGATGATTGTGTACCTGGTTTTAAAACTATATTAATTAGCAGAGGCAGGAGGAGAAGGAAGGTGCGTCCACTCCTTATATCTAAAAAAGGGAAAATATTATATCCATAATTGTGTGAGAAAACCTCTGGCTGGATGGACCACACTAAAAAAAATTACCTTCACCACAGTCCACCTGGTTGGCTGAGGTTGAAAAAATTAAGGGTTTCACAACCCTGGATGCAGTGGAAGTAGCATTCTCAGACATAAAAATGGTGTTCAAGGCTCTTAATTTTAAAATATAATATACCACATAATTTTTTAACATAAAAATAACGCTAAAAAGAAAAGATCAATTTGTTTCAAAAACTAGGAGGGAGCGATGAGCATCAGTAAGGTCCACGTCCTCAGCCCCGTCAATGGCAGAGGTGGACAAAAATATGAGAGGGGAGGGACAATTACTAGGACTAATTTTTAATTTTTTTCTCATTTTACTCATAAAGTATGACTAAAGTGGACCCATATTTTATAATATGGACCTATTTTCATTTTCAAAATTGGGACCCATCTTATGTGTAAATCTAACTAATGTGGACCCAGCGAAACCCAGTTTAGACATTAAAACCTGAAAAATGTGGACTCATCGCATGGTTAATTTTTGTTCTTTAATATTAAAAATGAAGAAAAAAGCGAGACAGTCCAGATCATCTCACCAAATTGGTGCTATGGTATAACAAGCTTTTGTAAACACGATTTCGTTTAATATTGTAATAGGCCTATTTTACAGTCCCAATCTGGCGCATGTCACCGCAGGTGCGATCATTCATTGTTCATTGTTACTTTTTAAAGTTCAACTGTTCAGTTCGGGTATTCAATTTAGATATTTTGTTGACAAACTTTCTGACACGGATACAAATTTGGTTGACCTTTATGTATTCTAAACTCTTTAGAAATTGGATAAATCGGCCATGTATATTCACTGTCCTGTATTCTTAAATCGTGAGTCTTCCTATTGGCCAAAGCTAAAATTAAGCCTTTGATCCCAAAGCGATGACCAATATTTAATATCCAAAAGCTTAAATACTACCAGCAACAAAGTATTGTCACATATCAACTTGATGCTTCTGAGTTAACTTCGAAAACTTGTCTAGAAATGATTAATATTTTATCTCTGGCCTGGTGTATTGCAATAGTCACCGGGCATTTTCACTTTGAACACGAAGTATTTCTTGACAGAGATGAAAATATTAAGCTTCTTTGGAGCGTAGAAGATGATAACATTACATTTGAAGTCCGTGCGAATACGACGGGGTACGTTGGGATTGGATTTTCAACTAACGGTGGAATGAGAGGTGCCGACATCATACTCGGATGGGTTAAAGAGGGCACGCCGTATATTTCTGTAAGTCTACATTCATTTTAAAGCAATTATTGAATTCATTCTTTTAATTGTAAGACAAGGATAATATTGATTGCTTAAGTCAGCACGGTTCTCCAACTGAACTCTGGTAAATATTCTTAAAACTTTATCACTTACCCAATTCAGAACCCCAACACATAAAATACAAAGACAAACAAGAGCTTAAAAAGTCTTTAAAAGCTCGTGAATTGCTCAAATGTAAAAACAAGTTCACTGTCAAGGAGCTCTCGGTGTTAAATCTGACTTAGGCCTATACAATAAAATTCATACAAAAATGAAAAGTCTATTTTTTTTTTGTAAATAATATGAAGCTAAAAGAACATCATAATATTAATCAGAAAAGCATGGTTAAAATATATAAAAAAAATTTTTAACTAATAATCTAAAAAAGAACAGAAGGCACAACATGCCAAAAAGCAGAATAGTAAAAAACGCTTAAAGTTAAGATTCGAGAAAAATAAAATACATAAAATTATTAAAATGCAATATGAAAAAAAATGCAATATTAAAACAAAATAAAGCACCCTCTGCATGGATAAACTAAAATCATTTTCAATGTTATATATTATTTTTGTAATTTAAATCATTATTATTAATCATTGTAGTGAAACCTCATGACAGGCCCGTAGGCAGGGGGGGGGGGGGGAAGAATTTCCAGGCCTCATTTTTTCCCGCTCTTCTACCTATTGATTTTTAATAATGTGCTACAAAATCTGTTGGAAACTATCAGCTCCAGTGATTGCAGATTGATCCGTGTCATCGGTAGGCCTACAGATGTAAAGAACATGAAAAATTACAATTTCACAGTGGTGGATTCAAGGGGGAAGAGCCCCCTAAAATTATAAAAGAAATGGAGAGAAAAGAAAAATCATAATTAAAGTTTGTCTGAGAGTGCCATTTCCGGCCATTTTGAGGTGCCATAATCATAAATTTTCTTACCGCAGCCCCATCTATTGTGGGGCTGAGGTGGTATTGACCATCTGTATGTGCAAGTTCCTCCCTTCACCTCCACCCTCTATTTCTCCTTCTTCACTGTAGGTCCCTAGACAATACTCAAATGAATGAAAATTTAAATAGGATATTACAAATTATGGATTTTAGAAATCCATTAAAAAAGGCCCTCAAAATGCTAATTGACAGAGCTTCCAGAAAATTCGCCCCACCCTCGCGGGGATCCCTAGGCAGTAGCCCATCGAAGGTTCACTTCGGTTGCAAAACGCATCTCCCCATCGAAAATCCTGTCTACGGGCCTGTCATGTAGTTCACCTTACACCAAGTGTGCAAAATTGATATCACCACGTTGCAGAGATGTATCTGCTGAAAACATATGTCCAGAAGAAAGAGCAAAGCGCCATAATGCACTATTGACTCCCAAAATGGCTGCTGTTGGAATGTTAAAGGCAGGATGAATAAAGTTTTAACTTGTAGGTCTACCCTTGTACCCAGTGGCGTATCTAGGTGTTTTGAAATGGGAAGGGGCCTGATGGTGGGGGTGGGGGCAGTGGTGAAGTGGGGTCGATGATTAAGTGAGTGGAAGCTTTGTATCTACTTAAGTGTGATTTTTTTGCATCGGAAATTTTCAATTGTGGGCGATTGGGGAGGTGGGTGTTTAGAGGGGGGGGGGGTGCCGTGCGCCGTCTCCTAGATAAACAACTGTTTGTACCTCGTATTATCACATTATCATCATAGTCATCATTATAATCCTTGTAATTATCACTATATAGTACGGTAACTCTATAATGATTACCCCTGAATTTAGGACCGACACGGCATTGGGAATGAAGAGCCTGTGGTGGATGTCCAAAAAGATGTTGAATTGTTGTACGGAAGTGAAACAGATGACTTAACAATACTAGGATTTCGGAGAAAGCTTTTGACCTGCGATCCAGACGATAACGATATAGGTGTAAGTCAATTGAAAGCTTGCAAATCCATTAAATTAGGTCTAACCCTTGGAATGTAGACACTATTTCAGATTATAATGGTGGGATTATTTGATAATCTTGTTTGTCACATATTTTTCTTTATATGAACTACAGTACAGTACAGTACAGTTTTGTTCCTCCCACTGATGCCAGTCACATCCAAGAGGCAGTCTTCTCAGCATCCAAATATATGCTGGCCGTATTTCTTTTTAAAGCGGTAAAGAACCTAACATCAGTTAGACAAAAAATGGCTCAACAAAATAATAAATGGACGAACATTTAAACACTGTGTAATTCATTAGTGTGAAAGGCGTCTCGGGCTTATACCAGATAAGCCCCCTAGGATTACGATTAGGCCAAAAAAATTGTTGTGTTGCCCTAAATGGAAAAACACGTAAAATTGCATTTTTAGTAATTTTTTGTTGACAATTTATTATATTTTTAAAAAAAACATGTATTTTCTGGGAAAAAATTGAGGCCGAAATCAAGTCTAATGCCCAACTAGTTTAGGGAAATAATATAAGCCCTATAGACTACTTTTTCAGTCAAGTGTATTCAAGAACATTATTTCAGTGTTTTTAGATGGTCGTTTATAATCGGAATTGTTGTATTATTGTACCATTAAATTAGCTTTTAAATTAAACATTTTCACGAAGAGCTACGTATCTACAGATATGAGCTTCGAAATTAAACAGACGATAGGCCTATTTTTATATTTTTATTTTAAACGAAGTCGGACACAATCCGGGTGATCTGGGCGTACCATCCCGACGATCCAGAAGACACAGAAGTGGTATACCATGGCCCCCAGCGTCGAGGTGTTCGATCCATCATATTCATTGGCGTCTTGTCTGCGGAGGTACTACAAGACGCAATGACAGACGATGTACTTAGTATGGATCTTGTTAACGAACATGTAAGTATAAACAGAAATATAATCATCATAAAGATGAAATAATGTGAAATTAGATCCCAGAGATTGCTCTTCAAAGATAATTAATCATGTGCCTTTAAGCTAAAATATTACATTTACCGAAACGTTACATATAATAAATGTTTTTTTTTTCTTTGCCAAGTATTACTGTGTATGCTGCAATTTCCAGCACTGAGTTTGGAAATACATATATTTTGAATAACAAAATTGCGATTATCAGTGCCATTTGTACAATAATCCACAGGTTAAACAAAATGGCATAAATAGAGCAATCTAAAATAACTAGACCATGATGGGGCCTTATAACTAATCTTAGTCTTCAATTCTGACCACATTTTAAAACAGAAAAGTCTGAATGCTTAAATTTCTGATTTCTCAAATCTCTTAATACCCACATTGGTACTAATATTAACAGGAAGTATTTAATTGAGTTAGATTTTACTCCAGCCCATATAGGCCTATGGTCAGAATATTAATACAAATTAGAATACGTTTCTGTGGTGTCAGGATGTTAACAATCATTTACATATCCTGTTGGGTAGTCAATTTTCAAAAGTTTAAAATTCTTTTGTTATTTTATATGTGTCTAGTTTTATTTCGGTTTTAAGGGTTTTGTGTAGGCCTAACTTCTTTCCCTGTAAACAACAATTTGTTATTTCGGTCACTACAAATTAATTAATGCTCATTTTCATGAACAGCCTATTAAATAGGATGTTTTTTTAAACAGTTAAAATAATGATGATTATTAATACTTACATTAATAACGACTATTACTCTCTAGATGAACAATATTTAAAATAAAGCACAGCCATTTTTTATGCAATATTACAATTCAGATTTTCTACCACCTAGGCCTACAGAATGAGATTCCTAAAGCTCATAGTTGTGGAATTTATAATAATAACAACTAACTGGTACAATGTGATTATAAATTGATAATTTGGCGAGTCAGGGGCACCGTACCTTCAGCTCTAATATCGGCGCTGGTTCGAACGGCTCACTCGCCAATGGTTCCGGTGGTGGAACATGTCTTCTCGGAAGGACTTTAAACCGTAGGCCCTGAACGCATCGGCTCGTGTGCACTTTAAAGAACCCAGTACATCCTTCGAGATGAGAGGGGGTTACCCCGGTGCCTGGTCCATTAAGCCCCCTGTTGTTAAATGGATATGCCACGAAGGACAATGATTAAGTTCACTTATTGGCATATCCTTGGCGTTCGTGCCTAATGAAATGAAATGAAATGAAATTTTAGAATACATTGACCATTATCAGACAATACACCTTAAAGGTTTATAATAGTGTGGAACTTAAATAGTGTACGACCGAGATGTAACAATAGGAAGCATTGATTTAATTATCTACATTATGTGCCGATCGCAAGTCGACCTAGCATCATGTTGTGATAGTGTTTTTATTATAATTTGGATGTTCAGTGTTTTGTTGACTATACATGTTGTTGCAATTGTAGACCCTGATACCAAGTGGCGATACTACATATTGGTGCACTCATTATGAGCTAACAATGCTACCAGGACCTCACCATATTATTCGGGTAAGTGAAGAATGAATCAGAAATATAGCTATATATAGTAGTGGCCTACTACTGATAATTAATTTTAAAAGAGCTATTAGGTAAGGTAAGCTATCCTTTGTTGTGTAGTAAATATGCCTTTATTAAATGCACAATGAACATATTTAAATAACATGAACTCTTAACAAATATCAATGGTTAAACATTAATGTTGTTACTACTGGATGAACATAATGATGATGATGATGATGATGACGAATAAGATGTTTCTGTTTTTATAGACAGCAGATCAATTATGATATTGAAAATGATCTGATAAAATATTTAAAAAAATAAAAATGAACAACTATGAAATAAGATTTAATAAATGTTTGCATTTTTTGGTTGATTTGCTTATATAAATAATTCTCACATAAAACGAATGTAATGTACTAATAGGGAATTTCAATCAATTAATAACTGACCAATCAGAAGAGCGCCACGAATATGTACAAACACACGTGTTGTCACTACAAAACGTCTTACCTTCGCAACAAACCCCAAGGGGTGGGGCTTAGCGAAAAGCTCCATAATCTTATCACCAGTATCAGCACCATATGGCATTTTTTTTAAATTTCAGATTGAGCCAGTTGTTGAGCCAGGGAATGAAGGCTTCGTTCATCATATGAATCTAATAGAATGTTATGAAGATCTGAGCATCAATTCAAATAGCAGCTTAGACTGCAGAAGTGAAAATATGTTTCGTTATAGATCGTGTGAAAAGGTTGTCTATGGTTGGGCCGTTGGCGGAGGAGTGAGTATGATTAAAATCTGTAGGAATGTCATTGTGTTACAAAAACACACACACGCACCCCCACACCCACCCAAACACACACACACACACACACCCACACACACACACAC